CGCGTGGCCGGCTTTCGTCACACTGCCCGTCGGGACGTCGGGACGGGACGCGCGCGTGGAGGGCAACTCGGGGGGTCTGCTCGCAGCACGACTGCGTGCGGGGACCCGGCGACGTGCTCATTTTCACTGGTGTTCCGCGTTCACTTTACCTCGCTTCCTCAGCGCGGCGTTCGCGGCAGTGAAGCAGATGTTTACGGGAGGAGGTGATGCACCCCGCTTTGGCTTGTGGAACGCATTTTTCCTGCTGCCGCTGGACTTTGGAATGCGGGGTAGTCAAGCTCACCGATGTCATCGAAGCCACAGGGCAGACTGCCTTTTGCGAAAGCCACTGGCTTAGAGATAGAGTATTTTCAATCTCTAGCAGATTCCACACTATTACAGTATGTTTGAGCAGGCAGAGGAGGTGTACAAAAATAATTTACTTTTTAAAATTTTTATTTTTGTGTCAGGAGGAGCATTGAAGAGGATTTTCTAGAGGCCGTCTTGACTTTTTTTTTTAACTTTTAATGTTGAAAACCATTCACAATACAGCTGCTTAGGAAGGTGTTCCTGATTTCTTTTTGGACAGCTTTATTCCATGTTGTATAACACTATATGTTTTAGGTGTGCAGTCACCAAAACCCATCCTATATTTAAAAAAGAGTTATTGCAGTAATTGAACGAAAGTTTCATGTAAATGCTCTGGTGTATCTTGTCATATCTTTCTCGGTTTGCTTTCCTTTGGGTTGAGAACTGTGCCTTCCCATCTTTGCGGGGTCCTCCCACCCTCACTTTTGAATGCTAAATATCAGTTGGTCCGAAGGTTGTGGGTTATTGTTAAACTGAATGCTAAATATTTGCAGTTTCCTGATAGTAGATATATTTTACTCGACAAGTCGAGACTAGTTCTCATTTTTTTAAACATCAGTAGGCCATCCTATTTTTTAAAGGTACTCCTTTATTCAGCCATAGTATATAGTCTCTCTCCCTCTCTTTTCTTAGCAAGAAATTGATTTAATGCATACAAACCTTTGCCTTGTGTTGCAGGCATCGCTCTTGCAACGTTTTCCCTAAAAAGCTCCGTCTTTTTCGGTTCTTTTTAAACTCTGCTCATTTTCATAAATTGAGTATGTTCCATTGTGGTGGGGTGTGTTCACGCACTCAGCCCAGTCTTAAACTATTAGGTAAACATTCTGCCCGTTTGTGAATGAATTTTCCTTATCTCCTGTTCTGCTTCCTCTGTCTGGACCTTCTTGGACTCTAACACCTCTTGGAAGCAGAGGAGGTGGAAGTGAAGTCAGTGCCTATTTATTATATACTAATACAAAGAGTTTGATCAAGAAGGATGTGGGGGTTAATATTGGGAGTTCATACTGGGAGTCCAGTTATCCGGGTCCTGTTTATATTGAAGCAGAAAGAAGGGCCGATTTCAGTATCATGTGCATAGATGTTTGGTGAATTCGATTCTATAGAAGCTTCTCCATATTGTAGTGGGATCTCTTTTCAAAGGGCAAGAACTGGTTATATTAAAAACTGATTAACATCAGACAGCACTTTTTTTTTTTTTTGGTAAGTTATATTGGGACTTAGTTCAGGCATAAGGGAGTGTCTTCTCCATTTGAAGTGATTCTGAGTACTTTGAGCTTAGCTCAAGACAACTTTGGGAGAGCTCAGTTCGAAAGCAGACATGGACCAAGAGTGTGGCAAGTCAGAGCTGAAGGCAAAGAGGTATCACCAACCTCTGGTCCAGGCTGCCCTTTTAAAATCTGAACAAAAGATTTTCTTTTTTATTTTGTGAACAGTTTCTCATAAAGTTACCATAAAAATCCTTTCCAGAGAGTCAGTAAGTCATCTAAATGGCACTCTTTAAAGATGGGGAGGAGGAAATTGCATTTAGTAGTAGTCTTTCCCTCCAAGTTACCTGATTTAGATAGTCCCTTTTTATGTTTGTGAATTTGGGCCTGCAGGAGGCCTGACCTGAATCTGTTCCTAGCCATGGAGCTAAAAATAGGGCACTCTTAGAGGACTTGCTAAAACCGTGTGTGTCTCGGCCTCTCCCAGTCCCCCCCCCCCGCTGTCTTGTTGCAAGTAATGATGGGAAAGCCTTCTTCCTACCTTTAGCTTATTTTCATTTATGTAATGATTTACAAAAATAGATTTATCCTACTGCTTGAGTTCTTGAGTGACCCCAAACTTGCACCATACAGATTTAATTTTAAAAAGTGGCTTAACCTTGCTTCTCTTTCAGTGTTTTGTTTGGCTTTGTAAATTATCAGCACCCCACTCTGGAAGTTACTGAGAGTTTTGCTTCCGATTAACAGGTTCAGATTGATTCTGTGGTGACATCTTTGTTAAAAGTGGAAAAAAGCAATTAGTTATGCCTTCCATTGTTCTTTTATGGGAAATAGGCATTACTAACTTTTGTCTGCTACCTGTTGTTAGGTAAATAGCTTTAGCACTAGCTCTACTTTGTAATAGCAGGAAGGCCCTATCAGATGACATGGTGGCTTACTCATACTAATAATGCCTTGATTTGGTTTCTGTGAAAGATGTGCTGCTAAATGTTATTTGCTGAATTGGCAAAAGCAATTTCTGTGGTAGTTTTTAAGAATATATGGATATCCTTCTGGTACTGGAAATAGATTTAGGAGGTATGAGGCTTCTTTTTCTTTTTCCTTTTTGGTACCGCGGCTCAAACTTAGGCCCTTGCACTTGGAAAGCAGACAGTGGAACCACTGAGCCATATCCCAACCCAAGGCTTCTTTTTAATACTGCCCCAAGACAGCAGTGAAGAGGATTCAGCCAGTTAAGTTGAAAATCATCTGGTTCACTATGAGCAACTCAGTTGCAGAGCTCAGCTACTACATCTTCAGTGTACCAGTTAGTAAGATGTATTATTGTCCAGGCACTTTTGCCTGGGGTTCTATGAGTATAAATGAACTTGACTATTATCCGAGAGAGAGCTGTAAAACGGGCAGCTGGAGCCTTTCCTTTCCTGAATTCTCTGCTTACCCTAACATGAGACTGACTTAGTTATTTGGAGCTATAACTCATCCCACCCACCCTTTATTTAGGGATAGGGCCTCACTATGTGGTCCAGGTTGGCTTTGAACTATGAAGCCCAAGTTGGCTTTGAATTTGAGATCCTCCTGGCTCAGCTTCCAAAGTGCTGGTACCACCATACTCAGCCGGAGTTGAAACTCTTTTATTTACTTACTTTTGTAGTGTTGAGGATTGAAACTGGGGCCTTTGCTCTAAGCCAGATCCCCAGCCGTTCATCAGTTTTGAAAGAAGGTCTCACTAAGTTGCCCAGGCTGGGGTCTTTCTACCTCAGTCTCCCAGAGTGCTTAGATTATGGGTGTATTTCACCATGCCTGACTAGGAACTGTAACTTTTTTCTGTTTTTTGTGTTTTGGTACTGGGGATTGAACTCACAACCTTGTGCTTGCCATGCAGGCATGGTGCCACTGAGCTAAATCCCCTGTCCTGTAAGTTTTTAACTTTACACCTGTTAACATAAATTCTCAAAAGGCCCTGATAGATGTGAGATGTGTTTCAGAGGGGTGTATGTGTGTATATGTATGTATAAGTGTGTATGTATAACCTTGACCATTTAGGGTACCAAGAATATCTTCATTTGAGATGCCTACTAATAGTATTTTAACTTTCTCTTTAAGCATGGTAAAGTATCAAGGGCTAGCCAGCTGTTTTCTAAGCATTGGTAAGGAATACTTGTTTTAATTCACAGCTCAGTAAGACACAATACCAGTAAGTTAACTCTTTCTTGAGCTTGGTTATTTAACAGAAAACGGAGACCACAAAGTGAGAGGATCTAGAAAATGCTTTTTAGGTTGGTGCTTTATGATTTGGGGTGTAAGAACAAATCTCAAACCTCTTAAGATTGATTGCATGTAAGGGTTTTTGCATCCTTCAGGCTGTTCACTTGGCTACTCTCAAAGAAGACTCAAAAGTTTTGTAAGACTCATAACTAAGGAGTGCCTCACTTTTTTTAAAAGAAAACCCATGATGGACTTAAATTTCTACATAGGCCCACCAAGTATATTGAGAATTATTGGGGGGAATCCATCTCTTGTAGGCTTAAGGCCCCATAGGGAAGTACTGATAAAGTTTCTTATCTGTTCCTTTTCTAACAAGCATAGGAT